TAACTCCTTAGCTCTAATGCGTGGGTTCATTTTACTATGCTCTAAGTCCTCCTGCTCCTGCTCACAGCAGCGGTCATCTGTTGGCATTGCTGATTTCTCACATGGGGTGTGAGGAGGTGGACCTCAATTAGTGAGCCACGTGTGTGTAGGAAGAAAGAGGAACTCAATGAACAGCCCTTAAAAACTGACCTCTTTTCAACCCCTTTGACCTTCCAACCTCAAGGTCACTGGTCTCAGCCCGCCCTCCTTCGTCCCTCATCCCAGAATCTAGAGCTAAAGTATCAATTATACGACAAAAAGGACAGATACTGAATCATTTCATTATTAACGAGAATGAGTCCATTAAAGGCTTCACAAATTGAGTCTTCCTGGCACAGTATGCATATGGCTGAAATATTTTTTCACACACACTGTCATTCTAGAGCCAACAGCCTTATTTTGTTTTGATATGATTTAAAAGACCAGCAAAAATATATATGATGTTGAAGTAGCTTTTGCATCATTTATAGTTGTAAGTAGGACACTTTGCACAACTAATCTTAGCTAAAATAAAAGTACATTGTCACAGAAAATCCCACATAGGATAGCATGGGTTGTTCTGGTGCAGTTTTGACGTTCCACAAAAATGGCTCAATGCTGCCACCTGGTGTCAAAATCTGTCCATACATTTTTAAGGTCTGTTTGTTCACACACACACACACACACACACACACACACACACACACACACACACACACACACACACACACACACACACACACACACACACACAGTCCTTCTACATCAACCAACCTTATTTTGTTCTGATAAAATCTAAAATACCAACAAAAAATATAAATGATGTTGAAGTAACGTTTGCCTCATTTATACTTGTAAGTAGGAGCTTTCAACTTTGTACAACTAATCAAAAACCTACAGTCAACAAAACAAATGCAGACATAAAAAAATGCAGACATAACAAACAAAATACTGCAAGCAAAAAACAAAATGCAGCTGTCAAAGAAAATCATGAAAATAGCAAAAACAGCAGCAAATCGCTCTAAAAAACAGGCGTGCTCTAGAGCATTAGAGATAGATGATCAGACAACTAACCATTTGGACTGTATAGCCCAGTCCCCCCAAGCACTAACCCTCTATTTGCTTGTTCCTGCGGAGGGTCTGTTACATAAGGTGCCACCCCAAACCACGTAGTGGGTAGGGTGAGTGGACCATTCAGCCCTTAAATAGTGAGTCAGCATAAGTGCAGGCTTGCTGGAATTAAAATAAATTTAATTCAGTTTATTTATATAGCGCCAATTCACAACACATGTCATCTCAAGGCACTTCAACGAGATAATTCAACCAGATCATACAGTCTAGATTACTCAAACTTTTCTTTGAAAGGAAAACCAGCTGATTGCATTGAATCATTGGCTCGAAGGCAATACAGTACCTCAAACCAAGCAGGCTCATTGCGACGGTGGAGAGGAAAGCTCCCTTTTAACAGGAAGAAACTTCAAGCAGAACCAGACTCAGTGTGAGCGGCCATTTGCCAAGGTCGACTGGGGTTTAAGGAGACAGAAGCAGACATAGAAAAAGAAGCAGAGATACAAAGGGCAACTGTCAACCACCTCCACAGGCAGCCCTGTCAAGAAAACATACAGCCAGGCAGAAGAGCTTTGATCCCAAGTCAGAAGATAAATAGCACAAAGACAGTTAGTCGCAGTTAGAGAAACAGGATTAAACTGAAAAACAGGCCAAGCTCCAACATCTATAAACAAAGGTGTTGATGGCAGCAGCACAGCTAATATTTCATACTCCAGGATGGAGTCACAGCAGAACAGAAACAGACCAGATGAAGCTACTAAGACAAAAAATAGAGAGAGCATAATGTTAGAGATTGAGCTAACATACTCTGCAGAATAGGAGAATAGAGATAGAATGAAACAAAATGATGAAAAGAGGTCCCTATGTCCTCCAGCAGCCTAAGCATATAGCAGCATAACCATAAAGATAGCCCAGGATAACCTGAGCCACTCTAATTATAAGCTTTATCAAAAATGAAAGTTTTAAGCCTATCCTTAAAAGTAGACAGGAGAGGAGCCTGATAACTAAAAGATCTGCCACCCATTCAACTTTTAGGAATTCTAAGAACCACTAATACACCTGCAGACTGAGAGCGAAGTGCTCTGTTAGGAACACAAAGAACAATCATATCTCTGATATAAGATGGAGCTTGGCCATTTAAGGTTTTGTGCATGAAAATGAGGATTTTAAATTCTATTCTGTATTTTACAGGATGCCATTGAAGAGAAGAGATATGATCTCTCTTTTTAATTTTGATTAGAACTCTGGCTTCAGCATTTTGGATCAGCTGAAGGCTTTCAACTACAATTTGTGGACTTCCTGATAATAAAGAATTGCAATATTCCAGCCTTGAAGTAACAAATGCATGAACTAGTTTCTCAGCATCACCCCTGGACAGGAGATTTCTAATTCTTAAAATATTCTGCAAATGAAAGAAGGAAATTCTAGAAACCTCTTTGATATGGGATTTAAATGACAGGTCCTGATCAAAAACAACACCAAGATTTTTTTTATTTTTTTTTAATCTGAGATCAATTTAATCCCATCCAAATTAAATGACTGACTAATCAGCTTCTGGTCCAAAGACTATAACTTCTTTCTTTTCTGTATTCAGGATCAGACTGTTAAGAGTCATCCAGGTTATGTCTTAAAGACATGCCTGTAATCTATGTAATGGGTTAGCTTCATCTGGATTTATAGACAGATATAGCTGAGTATCATTAGCAAAAGAGTGGAAATTAATCCCAGGCTATCTAATAATTCTACCGCTTGGGAGCATATATATAGTAAAGAGAATTGGTCCTAGCACTGATCATCAGAGCTTTTTCAGTGCTATGATGAGCTCAAAAGCCAGGCTGAAACTCTTCAAAAAGTTCATTATGGTGTAAGTGGTTGCACAGTTGTTTGGCAACTACTTTCTTAAGAATTTTAGGTAAGAAAGCAGTACTGGAAATAGGTCTACAATTGACCAAGTCATCTGGGTCAAGTGACAGTTTCTTAAGAAAAGCTTTAATTACAGCTACCTTAAAAGCCCGAGGTACATATCCCTGTAACACGGATATTTTAATCATATCTAGAATAGTGGTGGAAATTAGAGAGAGTACTTTGTTAATTAACCTTGTTGTAACTGGACCTAACATACAAGTTAAAGGCTTAGATGAAGACATAATATGATTTGAGTTTAAACTGCTTTGATGAAAATCAAAGCAGTTTAAACCCGATTCAGATTCCATAGTTACCGCAGAAGCTGCCTCACCATCCAGAAAAAAACAACCATAGTTAGAGGGTTACTAATGATCTTAGTTTTAATAGAATCAATCTGATTTATAATTACTGCTAAGAGCAGGTGGGACGGTTCAATGAAGCTATGGCTCTGGGTGAGTTTGGCAACTTTATTAAAAAGAAATATAGGAATATTCTTATTTTACTCTATTAATGAGGAGAAATATGTTGCTCTTGCTTTACAAAGGGTCATTTTATACAGCAGCAAACTGTTTCCAGACTAGGTAGGATTCCTGTAGGCATGTAGAGCAACATTTTCTCTTCAATTTCCTAATATTTTGCTTCAAAGTGCACAGCTCTGTGTTGAATCAAGGAGCCACCTTTATATTTTTTAAGTTTTTATTATTCAAAGGGGGCTACATTGTCTAAGGCAGTACGCAGAGAACTAGTTACCTGTGGTCCGAAAATTTAGATTACTATTAATTTCTTATTTCTTATATTGATTTTTGATATTTACTTTGTGAAAAATATTTTTACTCACCTGAAGGCCACAAAATGTTGAGCGAGAGGAGTGATTGGAACAAGAAATACTTATTCCCATATCAAGCAAGATTCTTTCTAAAAGTTTATTCATAACATGCTAATGTTTAACCAAATTGTCTACAATTTGTTTTGACTCTGACTACAGAGAAGTCTGTTCAGAACAGGGCTGAACACCATGCAATGACGGCTGTATGTTTTTTGCTTTCATTTTATTTTGCAAAGTAAAATAAAGTGAAGAATGATTTAAATCATTTGATCTCCATTTATTTAACTGGACTGTACAGTTGAATAATTTTTCACATGACACAATCCCATCTACAAAACCATCAACCTGTAAAGGGGAATAAACTAAATGTTTGCCCTCTGCAGGGCTGCTCAGCATCACAGAGGAGAAAATGGAGCAGATTCTTTAAAATGTATAACTGCATTATCCGATAAGGATCTGCTAAAGTGAAACATTCTTCTGGGGGAGGAGAAATCTGTTCATGTAATTTTGAAGGTAGTTAAAAAGTGGTCAGAGAGGACAGGGTTGTAGGGAAATACTTTTATTTCTTCACATTCAATACCACATGTCAGCAAAAGGTACAAAGTATGATGATGAAAATGTGTGGGACTACACACATTTTGAAAAAAGCGAAGTGGAAGCGAGAGTCTAAGATAAAATTAAGTGCTGCACTTAAGCTATCACCTTTAGTGTCAGCAAGGATTTTAAAATCTCCCACAATGATGACCTTGTCAGCATTTAGCACAAAATCAGATAGGAACTCTGAAAACTCATCTAAAAATCAGAGTAAGGATCTGGCGGACGAACCAAAAGTACAAAAAGAAGAAGTTTTGTTTCTTTCAGTTTGGATAAGGGGAAACTAAGGGTTAAATGTTCAATAGACTTGTGATTATTAATTGACTTTGAGTAATCAGTAAGTCAGACTGAAAGACTGTTGCTACTAATCCTCCTCGCCCAGAATTTCTTGGTATTTGAAAATTTGAATAACTAGAGGGAGTTGGCTTATAGCTCAGCAAGAGGAAATACTCTGATTTGATTGATCATTATGAAAGGAATACTCCTTATTTGAATATAAGAATTTGAAATAAAAAAAAACGTTTACATGAAGAACAGATTTAGAAAATAAGTAACTGAATATTTAGGATAGCTTTACATAATTAAAGTGTCACAAAATTACACTCCATTATTAAATAAACAATCAAATGTATAAATAAAGTAATAATACATCTTTGAATAAATAAAAAAATCTTGAATAATATCAAAAAGGATCAAAAGCATATTTTTTTATTTTATAGGGACATTTAATGGAATATTTATTGACAATTTATCAATAGCAGTATTTATTTATGTATTTAATTTTTGAATGAAATACTGTAGTTTTCCATATCCACTGGGTTTATTAATGGGTTGTAACTTTCTCACATGAATCCGCATGAAATAAAGCCAAAACACAGTGGGAGTAAAATAGGAGAACTGATTTATTCTTGGATCTGTTCTACAAAACTTTATTACAACATAAAGCCACAGAACAAAACTGCGTCTGCTTGACCTCAAATTTTTTTGTAGGAAAAAACAAACTCTGGACAGTTATTTCAACTGTAAAAAAACAACAACACATACTTGCGTTTCTTGGTTGTTAATGGCTCACTTTAAAGGTGTCAGGATCTTTGATAAAGTAGGAACATGACACACTGAAAATCTAAAACTGTAGAAAGGGCTTCAAAGATAGCACCATGGCGTGAAAAGGCCTTGGACATTGTTATAACCACAAAAGGAATAATTATTAGAAAAGATTCATACATCAAAGCCTAATCTGGAAATAATTAAATGCCATATTTAAAATCCTCATAATCACGGATGAACGTTCTTCACTGAAGGAAATCTTAGTCCTCTTGCATTATCTTCTGTCTCTGTGGTTCATTGTGCTCTCTATAAAAAAAATACATCATATCACAGTACAGTAACAAAACTGTATGCTTAAAAAGAAAGAACAGGTGTTAAAACTTGATGTCCCAAAACTGTGGTGGCTCTTCGGTGGCTTCAAAATCATTTCCAGCTGCTAAGAAGCTGCTATCAGTTTGTGACAGCATGTCAAGGCTTTGCACAATTTCTCCACCCCCTGGATTAAAAATGGAGAAACAAATAATCAGGCATAGAGTAGATAATTACTATGATTGAAAGGGTTGATTTATGGAATATGCACCAATCTCACCAGGGAAGCAAAGGATTTGAGGTCTCTCCCATAGGCCTCCAGACAGACACCTGATTAGAGGGTTCAGCCTTTGCTGGAAGCCCTCTGAGCATCGGTACCTCACAACTGCATTGGTCTCATACCTGGTTCGAGCTTTTCCGAATATGGATGCATTACGAATCTTTGGGGGGGGACCACAGGAGGCTGTAGAAAGAGATGGCACATGTATACGTAATGGCTTCTAATACCCAAAAGAGGGAGCTATGATCTCATAATTATATGAAATGTGGTCAGTCTGACTGAATAAACTTACAGGTGCCTTTCTTGCAGGTGTATGCCAGATGATAGTTGCAGGGTACATCACTCCAGCGGCCATTATCGTGCCAAACCATCACCACGCAGTCCTCTCCAGAGAGGAAGTAGCTGTCTGGCTGCCCTCTGTACCAGTTCTCATACAGCTGCATTGTAAAATAGATTTTAATTCAGCCCAAAAAATAAAAAATCATGAAAATAAACTCTTCAAAGACTAGACTACATTCAGTATTATTTGAAGAACAAAATTGAAATGTAAAACCTATATGTAACACAAAGGGCAATGGATGGTCTTAAAAGTTTCTGTAACTACAGTAATTACTTCATAAATGTTTTTGCTTTCATATCCAACCTAAATGAAAGCAATTTTCATCTTTAGAGGTATTGTGTGCGTTGTTTGCTTAGTATTTTTCTGCTATAGTTGTGAGTCTAATGTTTCTCACCAGCTGGTTTCCATCAGTCCATCGGAAATCATCCTCAACAGTCTTATCATTCAGACCAGTCCACTGGTATTCTTTGTAGTTACCTAGTAAAGACATATCCCACTTCACTAATACATATCTAAAAAAAGCCCTCATATATATAAAGTACAATGCAAAATATTTAGGCATGAATAGTATGTTTTTATTTTGCTTCCAAGAAGCCAGTCTTGTAATTTTGTGAATTGGTATTTTTGATATATATTTTTTTTTAAAGACATTTGCTTCTTTTTCAGTTATCTGCAGTCTAATAAAAGTTACATTTCTTGAGAAAATCTGTTCAAGATACAAAAATAAAGGCAACAGGTTGGTGGATAGAAAGTACAGTGCATTGAAAAATCTTCACTACCCCCCTGACCTTTCTTAAATGTTATTCACATTGTAGTCTCAAACTTGAATGTATCTTATTCTGATTTTATCAGGTAATATATACTGTACTTATGATATGGAACAAGGTAAATTGTTCCATGTTTTTTTTTTTTGTTTACTCACAAATGAAACATTTATAAGACTGGTAGACATTCAGCCTGAAACAATATCTTGTGTAACCACTTTTTGCTGCTATAACAGCTGCACATCGTTTAGTTTGAAATTTGAATATTGAAAGCACGTGGTTTCACTGGATTTCTAGTAATATTAGAATAAAGGGTGATAAATACAAATGGAGATTCACCAAAAAGATATTTCCTAAAACATCTTATAAATTAGAACATAAACCAAGGGATGGTGGATCTCTTACAACCTGTCATTTCAGACAGACTTTATATCTGCTGTGATTTTTCAATGCCTGATGGTGTTTAAGGCACTGTCCTGTAGAAGTGTGTGAAACAGGAGACAAATATCCAAATTATAACCTACCACAACATTCTACCATTTTCATACGGTACTCGATGTAACTCTTAAACAGTAAAAAAAACTTTATTCAGGCCTACTGTTAATGTATTCCTGCTCCTCGGGGGTCATGATGGACACCAGATGAGCTCCTTGTGTGCGACAGTGCCTTTCTGCTACCTCCCAGCTCTGACGCTGGCTGAAGTGTCGATAGCAGAAACCTTGAAATTTATCCCAGCCTGGTTCACATCGCTCCAAGTCTGAATGCCAGACATTAGTGAGGAAAACATAGCAAAGAAAAAACAAAATACAGTAAATATATGTTAATTTTGTGGTAATTAGTGGCAAAACAAAAGCTATTTCATTTCACACCCATATTTATTTTTTATAGATCTGGATGTTTGGCTGATTTTACTGTGATGCTTAAAAATATAACCTCTTTTCTTAACTAGTTCTCAAGCTGACATGTTAAGGTTTGGGGCTACAACTGACTGGTTAATGAAATATTTTAGGACTGGTTAATAATTAATCAACCATGACAAGAAGTCTGATGTGGTTTATTTTGCTGATAAAAACATTCTTCAACCAGCTTTTAGGCCTGGAAGAAAAGGCTTCCATTGTTTACCATGCTATAGTGCAGACTTAAGAAGAATAAAGAGGCATTGCTGTCAAAATGTTCCTTTATTCTGTTTATTCTGTTAGTCAGTTTTATCTAAGCAGCAGTTCTCTTTTTTAATAACATTTAATCTATCTATCTATCTATCTATCTATCTATCTATCTATTGAACTTGCCTGTTACTTTCCTGCTGATACAGCTGAACTTCCTCACTTTAGGACAATAA